CCAGGGGAACCAGGCGCTGGCCAAGGCCGAGATACCTTCAGACCGTGTTATACTCAGCTACGTGGAGCGGGAGCCAGTGTCAGCATGATGATGAGGGGGTCTCCGACAGCGACGGCAGTGCGGGGCGGGTCAGCTGTCACTGGCATCTCGGAGCACAACCTCCACCCGCTCAGAGTTGCTTCCCTCCGAACGCAGGATCGGGCTCCCGCCGGGACTTCATTGGTCCGTAGGCTTCGGGCCACGCCAAGGTGGAACCATCGAGACCCATGGCGGATGGCGGGTCCATGCGGTAGAGGTTGCAAATCAATCGGACCTCTCAGCTGTTTCCTCGCTGCCGGGCTGGGGCTTTTTGGAGGGCTGCTTGGGATCGGATCAGGAAATCCTCATGCGGTCTCGGCCTTGGTCTCAAGTGGTGGACCCTGCTCAGGCGGCGTTGCTTCCCCTGGCCAGAGTAGGAACCACTCACTTCTTCTGTCTAACGGGACCCGTCCCACGGAGACTCTGCTCTCCGGTGACTGTACCCAGCCTTCGTGACGAATCTTGCTCGGGAGTCGGCTCTGGCAGTGCCTGATGTGGCGCCCCGTTCGTCGGCTGGAGGGCGCTTGGATCTCGCCTCTCCATTGGGTTCCTGTCTCCCCGGTGCTCGCCAGTACGCGAACGGAGGATTGGCCGGCATAGGTGCGCGCGGCTGCCAGGTCTCCTGCTGGAGGCAGCCGCTGGCTCCAAGCACGGCTGCGCACGATAAGGCTCGGCACGATCGGCGCGCACGCTGCGGTGCTCGAGGCGCCGTCTTCCATCGATGCTGCTCCGGCCCCAGGATGTTCGAGGTTCGACGCGGTCTCCTCCCGCTGCGTCTAAAGCAAGCTGCCACTTGTCTGTGGGCTCAATGAACACATACTTTGGCGATGTGTTCTGTCGCTGCATCTGGCCGTCGCCGAATCAAAGCCCCAAGGAAAACTTGGCTGAGGTTCGTGGGAATGGTTCCTGGGTGGATTTGTTCCGGGCAGGTCTTCGTTGACGGAAGAGCTTTCAATGCAGCCCATGGAGAAGTAAGCAATACTGGGTGGGCGCTAATGTGCATCGATCCTGCTGGCAACCTGATTGCAGCAATGGTGTAGCTCCTTTGCGGCCTGTCCTGTCCCAAGTAATACGAGATGGGGAAAACCATCCGTTGTACAGGCTAACCTGTTTCTCATAATGGAGTGTTGGACACCCGTCGAAGTTTGCTGTGGCTGCTCGGGGGCGGTCGCGTACGCGCAAAATGCTGGCACGGCGCTGTTGTTTGACAGCCCAAGGCGTCAAATTTTGATTGGCTGGTGGGCCGACGTGGGCAAGTAAGTCTCCGTCTGCTCGAACGGACCATGATGTTTGGCGAATCCGGGGCAACAGAACTATTGATTCGTATGCTGAACAAATGGTCAACTTTGGACGATTCCTCAACACTGGCCTTTGTTCGCTTCAGGTTGTGGGCGGACTGTGAGGGATTGCGTCTTGCGGCATGGTCGTGCCCAAGCTGCCTTTCGGCTCCTCGAACAAACTGTTTCGGCAAACTTTGCAAGATGTGTCCCCAAACATCCTGTGGTGTTGGGTACTCGGTTTGCAGAAACAGCGTCCCGCGTCCCAACTCTTCCCGCGCTCCTACCCCTCCTCCCTCCTCCCATCCCTGCCTCTGCCTTCAGCATGTCCATGCCGGCGCACCCCTCGCACGGTTCGTGGCCCCCTAGAGAGATCCACAGAGGGACCCACTGGCAGGGCTCGCATGTGGTTCCATCCCCATGTCGGCGCATCTCTGAAACGTTTCGTGGCCCCATACGGAACTCCGCCGAAGGCCCCAATGGCAGGGTTCGCGTGCGGTTTCACTTCCACTTCGGCGCACCCCTCACACGCTCCGTGCCCCATAAGGAACCCTACCGAAGGTCGCGCAGTGGCAAGGTTCGTGTGCGGTTCCGCCCCTTTTACGGCGCACCCCTCACACATTTCGTTCCGCCCCCCAACCTGTCGCGCCCCTCACACGTGTCGTGCCCCCCAATGGAGCTCCACCGAAGGTTCCAGTGGCAGAGTTCGCATGCGGTTCCACTCTCCATGTCGGGACACGCCTCACGCGTTTCGTGCCCCCATCCGGAGCTCCGAAAAAGGCCTCAATGGCAGGGTTCGCATGCGGTTCCCCGCCCATCCCGGCGCACCCCTCACGCGCTTCGTGCCCCCCCGCAAGGAGTTTCGCCCATGACGCGACGACGATGTTCACAATGGCGATGCTCGTGACTGCCTCTGGCTGGGCCCTTCGCCAGGACAGCGGTCGGAGGCAGCCGGGAGCCACTGCGGGGCCTCACTGGGCGCAGCTGGGCACGGGGAGAGCGCGGGCCGGCGGAGCGCGCTCGGCGCATCAAGCTCTCGCTCGCGCGTGTCAGGGCGCGGGCCTGCTGGGCAGGGCGCGGACGTCGTGGGCGGCCATGGGCGCGGGCTGGAAGCGCTGCGCCGAGGGAGCCGCGCAGCGCCAGGGCTTGCGCGCGCAGGTATCTCGCGGAGGAGAACTCGGAGCCAAGGCAGGGCCCCAGACCAGGGGAGCGACCACGCGTGCCGCCACGAAGTGGGCGACGAGCGAACACAGACGGCCAGGAGCAGTGATACATATATATATATATATGTATACATGTATACATGTATATATGTATACATGTATACATGTATATGTATATATATATATATATGTATATGTAGTTGCCGTTTTATATGTATATGTATATGTATATGTATATGTATATGTATCTGTATATATGTATATGTATATATGCATATATGTGTATGTATATATGTATATATGTATATATACGTATATGGATATGTGTATGTATGTATGTATGCATGTATGCATACATGCATGCATGCATGCATGCATGCATGCATGCATGAATGAATGTATGTATGTATGTATGTATGTATGTATGTATGTATGTATGTATGTATATATGTATGTGTGTATGTATGTATGTACGTATGTACGTATGTATGTATGTATGTATGTATGTATGTATGTATGTATGTATGCATGTATGTATGCATGCATGTATGTATGTATGTATGTATGTATGTATGTATGCATGCATGTATGTATGCATGCATGCATGCATGCATGCATGTATGTACACATACATATATGTACATATATATATATATATATATACATACATACATATATATAATCCACGCGAGCGAGCCACCATACGACCAAGGTCAAGCCCAAGTGGAGCGGGGCACAAGGACGACGCGGCGTCCAAGCGTGCTCGCGCCGTGCGGGGGGTACACGGCGCAGCATGAGCCCGGCGACGGGCACGCACGCCGCCAGGTCGTGGCGAGATCGCCGAAGATCGTGCCGCCCAGCTCCACGGGGCAGCAGCCAGAGGACCAAAAAATGGCAGAGTTTGTGTGCCAGCGCATTTTCTTTTGCGTTGTTGGTCGCCCTGGCGCGGACGGCCGAACGACCCCTGCAGCGGGACACCCTGCCCACACGGTGGGCGCCGTAAAAACTGCGCGTTCAACGCTGGCGCCGCGCAAAGGAGGCGCTGAACGGCGCGGGGGGGCAGGGCCGCGCCGCGTCGGGGCCCGCGAGGCAGCCCAACGCTGCGGGAAGGCCAGCGCGAGTCAAGGTCGGCCACGGGGCACGGCGTGGCGGCCCGCGGCGGGCGAGGGGGGAGGGGAGGGGAGGCGAACGAGGAGAGGGAACATGGAGAGGGAGAGGGGGTGGGGCCCGAGGCCCCGCGCCGTCAGCGCCTAACCAGGGGGGCGGACAGCCCAAGCAGCGCGGGGGAGCGCAGACTCAGGTCGGGCGTGTCCTCCTGCAGGCGGATGTTGGACGAGCAATAGAACAGAGTCAGCGTAATCCAAAAATGTCCAAGCATGCTAGAAACATCTTGTCCCCATGCTTTGTTTGGACTGCTTTTGAATATTCCTCCTGTAGAAGGGGCAGGCCCGAGGCGCACCCCTCACATCCCCTCACACGTAACGTGCCCTGATAAGGATCTCCACCGAGGGCCGCAGCAACGGGGTTCGCATGCGGTTCAACATCCATTTCGGCACACCTCTCAGACCCATAGGGAACCCAACCCACCGAAGGCTCCAGTGGCAGGGTTCGCATGCGGTTCCACCCCCAATGCGGCGCACCCCTCACACGTAGGCCGCAGTAGCAGGGTTCGCATGCGGCCCACTCCCAATTCAGAGCAACACCAACACGTTTCGTGGCCCCATAGGGCGCTCCACCGGAGCCCGAGTGGCAGGGTCTGCATGAGGTTCCACCCCCTATCTTAGCACGCTTCACATGCTTCGTGCCCCCATAGGGAACCCCACCGAAGGCCCCAGTTGCAAGGTTCGCATGCGGTTCCGCGCCCATGTCGGCATACACCATCACAGGTTTCGTGCCCCCACTGGGAGCTCCACCAGAGGTCCCAGTGGCAAGGCTCGCATGAGGTTCCACTCTCACTTCGGGGCACCCCTCACGCGTTTCGTGGACCCAAGAAGGAGCTCCACGGAAGACCCCAGCGGCAGGGTTCGCATGCGGTTCCACCCCCATTTCGGCACACCCCTCACACGCTTCGGGCCCCCATAGGGAGCCCCTCCGAAGGCCGCAGCAGCAGGGTTCGCATGCGGCTCCACCCCGAATGTCGGCGCACGATCCGACACGCGTCGTGGCCCCACAGGAAGCTCCACCGAAGGCCCTGGCGGCGGGGTTCGCACGCACCTCCCCGCCCACTTCGGCACACCCCTCCCACGCTTCGTGCCCCCCCAGTAGGAGGGCCTCGCCAAAGTCGACATTCACGACAACTGCGGTGCTCACACCTGTAGCTGTTGTCTGGATGCACGTGCTGACTTTGCCCGATGTGCGAGCTCAGGTCCGATAGATCCCGCTCCGTCCGGCGCTGTGCCTAGACGTGCACACCGCCTGGCAGCCCTGACCCCGAACCCCCCAGGGAGCGCAGCGGAGACCTGGCTGGGCCCTCTGCCGAGCACTTGTTTTTGTGTCCACATCACCCGCAGCTCAGGCTGGCCATCCGCTGCAGCAGCCGCTCGGCGGGGCCCCGCACGTGCTCCGCTGAGCCGCCGTGCAGGGCCAGGGCGCTCCGCGCGACCTCCGCCAGCGAGCGCGCCTCGTCCACCGAGCGCGGCACCGCGCCATCCTCGGCGAGGCGGCCCAGCGCCCGCAGGCCTGCCGCCTGCACGAGGAGCACACCCGGGCGCGCGGCCATCATGTGCGCTGGGCCCCGGCCGCCCTGGCCGCCGGTGAGCCGCTGGAGCGCCTCCAGCGCCTCGGCCAGCGCGCGGAGGGCGAAGCCGAAGTCCGTGCTGCCGGGGTCCACCAGGGCGCCGGAGGTCTCGACGAGGTGCGCCGCGACGCGCGCGGCGCCCTCGGCGGCGCCTGCGCGGAGTAGCGCTTGCGCCCAGGCGCCGCAGGAGGCCGCGGCGCAGAGGCCGCCGCACACCTCCGAGGCAGCGGCGCTCCGCCGGGGAAGCAGCGGGTGCTCCAGCAGTCCCGCCAGCGCTCCCGCGGCGCGCAGCGCCAGGTCCGCCTGCCCGGGGCCCAGGGCCTGGTGGTGCCTGCCAAGGCTGCGCAGCGCCTGCCCGAGGGCCAAGGCGATGGAGCCCAGCGTCTGCGACTCGAGCTCGGCCAGGCTGCCGAACCTGTCGGCCGCCATGAGGACGGCTTCCAGGACGGGGGCCGCATCCTCGGCACTGGCCTGCTCGTCCGGCTCGGCCAACGTATAACAGATTACCTGAAAGAACTCTTGCCCGAGATCTGGCGGCACCGTGTCCACGGGACCCACCAGCGCCGCGCGGAGGCTGCTCGCCACATCGGCGGCGCCCCACAACGTGCGCTGGAGCGCCAGGGTGCTCTCCAGCTCCGTGTACGTGTTCGAGTCGCTCCGCCAGCACGCGCTCGCCTTCCTGGCCTCCGCCGCCTCGCGCAGCTGCTGCGACTGTCTCAGCGCATGGCAGCACAGGGCGTCGGCCATGGCCGCCGCGCGGAGCGCGCGGGCGGACCTCGTAGGCCACCGCCCGGCGCGCTCCCGCTGGAAGCGGAAGACGAGCGCAGCCACGCGCTCCGCGCAGAGGCGCAGGCGCTCCAGCAGGCAGGCCGCCGGGGGCGCCTGCTGCCCGGCGCCCTGCAGCTCGGCGCAGAGGGCATCCGTGCAGTAGGAGAGCACCTTGACCCCCAGCTCCAGCAGGCTGCTGCTGGGCGAGTCGCCCAGCGCGAGCAGCACCACTGGCACCGCGTCCGCGGCCTCGCCCGCCCCGCAGGCGCGCCTGCAAAGGCGCCCCATCGACGCCAGCGTCGACCACAGCAGGTCACGGGGCGCGGCTGCTCCTGCGCACTCGGAGGAGAGCAGCTGCGTCAGCCGAGGCAGGCCGTGGGTGCACGCGAGCAGATCGAGCGCGTACGATGCCAGCTTGCCCCCCGCCTGCTCCGCGGACATGCGCAGCAGCGCCGTGCTGAGGGCGCGCTGCTGATCCTCGACCTCGCGGAGCCTGGCCTCTGCGTCCAGGTTCCAGGAGTCGCTGCTGCCCCCCTCGCCCCTGTACACCTGCCACAGTGCAACCAGGGCGCAGATGCATGCCTCCTTGGTGCCGGCGGAGCCCGCGCCCACCCACCTCAGCAGCCCGTGGGCCAGCGCCGGCACGCTGGAGGCCGCCAGCACCGAGCGCCGCCGCACCTCGGGATCCGCCTGGTCGCCTGGGCCGAGCTGGTCGGCTGTCAGGCGCGCACCGATGAGCTGGTAGCAGCGCTGGTGCATCTCGACGTCGTCCGGGTGGCGGCCCAGCGTGCCCAGGGCCTCCTGAGCCAAGGCCCACTTCGTCTCCCAGTCGAGCTCCTCGGACGTGTCTGCCGTCGTCCACAGGAACGCGCGCAGCACGACCGCGTTGGTGAAGACCGGGCGCACCACGTCCAGTGTGCTCCCCAGGCCCACGAGGTGGGCGAGGGCCCACTGGCCGTAGACCTGCACCTCGTGCTCGTCCACGTGGTTGGCGATCACCCGGGCCAGCACGTCCCGGCAACCGGGCTGTCGCTCCGCGCACACCTTCCTGCAGGACGCCATCTCCAGCATCTTGGACAGCGTGCCCAGCACCTCGACCTCGCGGGCCAGCGCCGCCCCCCGCTCGTGCTCCGGCAGCGGCACCGCGAAGGCGCCCTCGAGGGCCTCCAGCGCCGAGACCAGCGCCCCCAGGAAGGCAGCCAACGAGTCCGCCAGGGGCTGCAGGCAGCAGCTCGACAGCGCCGGCTCCTTCTCCGTGAAGGCCAGCGCCTGCAGCAGCTCCGCCAGCACGGAGGCGGGTGCCGCCATCGCCGCTCGCCCCGGCAGGGGCGCGGCGCCGACCAGGCACAGCTCGATCCCCAATCCTCGAGCCGAAATGGCTACGGACGGTAGAGGGAGACAATTAGTGAACCCCCCCCCTGCGCCCAAACTCACAGTCGGCACGCGCGGGGGAGACTGCGGTCGAGGTGCAACTCATCAGACCCACCGCCAACTTTGAACATCGGGGGGAGGGGGAGGCGTTCACAGATGAACGTGGCACGAGTGCTCGCTATTTTTTCCCGAGGCATGGATGGCATCGCAGGAACAGGCAGGATCCGAATCGAGGACGAGTTTTCGCAGGCGGGGGTGGGGCTGCTTGAGCAGCGTCCCAAGGCCGTGGAGGCCATGGTGCTGCTCCTCCCCCTCGCCGCCTCCGCCTCACCGTGCTCCCATGGACGCCCTCCAGGTGTCAGAGGTCCCCTCCGGGCTGAGAGCGGCGAGTCGCTCGATGACTTTACTTCGGTGCTGGGTCTTCAGTATGAAGAGACAGCGCCCCGCATGTCCTCCCCTCCCGCTGCCCTCCGGCGCACCCCTCACACGTTGCGTGGCCGTGGCCCCATAAGAGGCTCCACCCAAGGCCCCAGTGGCTAGTCTCGCATGCATTCTCTACACCATGTCGGCGCACCCCTCACACCTTGCGTGGCCCCATAGCGAGCCCCACCTGACGCTCGCATGTGATCACAGCCACTGAGCCCTTCGGTGGAGCTCCCTTTGGGGAAACGATGCGCCGTACTGGGTGGCGCGGGACGCATGTGATCACAGTGGGGCTCTCTATGGAGCTCCCTACGAGGCCACGAGACGCCATACTGGCGCGGGACGCATGTGATCATAGCCACAGGGGCCTTCGGTGAAGCTCCCTCTGAGGAAACGAAGCGCTGTACTGGGTGGCGCAAGACGAATGTGATCACAGTAGGGCTCTCTGTGGGGCTCCCTATGAGGCCACGAGACGCCATACTGAGTGGCGCGGGACGCATGTGATCACAGCCACAGGGGCCTTCGGTGAAGCTCCCTATGAGGAAACGAAGCGCTGTACTGGGTGGCGCGGGACGCATGTGATCACAGCCGTTGGGGCCTTCGGTGGGGCTCCTGGTGGGGCCACGAAACGCGGTACTGACTGGCGCGGGACGCATGTCATCACAGCCGGGGCCTTCGCCCCATGGGGCAACGAAACGCCGTGCGGGGTGGCGCGGGACGCATGTGATCACAACCACTGGGGCCTTCGGTGGGGCTCCCCATGGGGCAACGACGCGCCGTACTTGGTGGCGTGCGCCGCCAGTGATCACAGCCTCTGGGGGCTTCGGTGGAGCTCCCTTTGGGGCCACGGCCACGAAACGCCGTATCGGGTGGCGCGGGACGCATGTGATCACAGTGGAGCTCTCTATGGAACTCCCTAAGAGTCCACGAGACGCCATACTGGGTGGCGCGGGACGCATGTGATCACAACCACTGGGGCCTTCGGTGGGGCTCCCGGTGGGGCCACATGAGGCCTTTCGTGGAGCTCCCCATGGGGCCACGAAACGCCGCATCGGGTGGCGCGGGACGCATGTGATCACAGCCAGTGTGGCCTTCGGAGCCCCCTATGTGGCCACGAAGCGCCATGCTGGGTGGCGCGGGGCGCACGTGATCACAGCCGCTGGGCCCTTCGGTGGGGCTCCCTGTGGGGCCACGAAACGCCGCACTGGATGGAGCGGGACGCATGTGCTCATAACCATTGGGGCCTTCGGAGGAGCTCCCCATGGGGCCACGAAACGCCGTACTTGGTGGCGCGGGCCGCACGTGATCACAGCCACTGGGGCGTTCGGTGGAGCTTCCCATGGGGCCACGAGGCTTCATACCAGGTGGGGCAGGACGCATGTGATCACAGCCACTGAGCCCTTCGGTGGAGCTCCCTATGGGGAAACGAAGCGCCGTACTGGGTGGCGCGGAACGCATGTGATCACAGTGGGGCCCTCCATGGAGATCCCTATGAAGCCACGAGACGCCATACTGGGTGGCGCGGGACGCATGTGATTACAACTACTGGAGCCTTCGGTGGGACTTCCGGTGGGGCCACGGAACGCCGCAATGGGTGGCGCGGGACGCATGTGATCACGGCCATTGAGGCCTTTCGTGGAGCTCCCTATGAGGCCACGAAGCGCCGTACTGGGTGATCACAGCCACTGTAGCCTTCGGAGCCCCCTATGTGGCCACGAAGCGCCGTACGGGGTAGCGCGGGACGCATGTGATCACAGCCACTGGGGCATTCGGCGGAGCTCCCCATGGCGCCACCAAACGCCGTACTGGGTGGCGCGGGACGCATGTGATCACAGCCACTGGGGCCTTCGGTGGAGCTCCCTATGGGGCCACGAAGCGCTGTACTGGGTGCGCTTGCGGAGGGCAGGGGCAGGGATGGGAGGAGGGAGGAGGGGGAGGAGGACGGAGGCGAGGAGAGGATGAGAGGAGACGCGGGGCGCTTTCTCTTCAAAAGAAAACCCAACACCACAGGATGATTGGGGAAAACACCACGTAGAAAACACCGCGTAGCAAACACTGCGTAGGACGCACTGCGTACAAACCACTGCGTAGAATGCACTGCGTACGAGCAGGCGCCTTTAAAGGATTGCTTTTGTCGGCCAAGCCTTTCCCTGCCACGCTCTACCACAGCGTGTAAACAAATAGAGGCGTAAAACACAGCGTAGACCACACAACAACACATGCGTAGACGACACTGCGTAGAACACGCTGCGTGTGGTTTTGTTCGATCAGGCACCTTTAACGTATTGTTTTCGATGGCCAGGTCTTTCCCTACCACGCTCTACCAGAAGCGTAGAAACAAAAGCGTCAAAGCACAGCGTAGACAATACTGAATAGACACCGCTGCGTAAACAATGCTGTGTTTGGGCGTTTTCGAGCAGGCGCGTAAGTCTGTCCTACCACGCTCTAACATGCAACACTCCATATCATAGCGGTAAAACAACACAACGTAAACTTATCCTGGCGAAGAACCCAACCATGTGCATGTGTGGGTACGGCAGCTGTGTGCCCCGCCTTCGGTGGAGCTGCCTATGGGACTGCGAAGCGTGTGAGGGGTGTGCGGACATGGGTGTGGTGGCGCCAAGCGAACCCTGCCACTGGGGCCTTCGGTGGAGCTCCCTTATGGGGCCACGAAACGTGTGAGGGGTCTGCCGACATGGGTGCGGTGGCGCCATGTGAAGCCTGTCACTGGGGCCTTCGGTGGAGCTCCCAATGGGGCCACGAAACGTGTGAGGGGTGTGCCGACATGGGTGCGGTGGCGCCATGCGAACCCTGCCACTAGGCCCACTGGTGGGGCTCCCTATGGGGCAACGAAGCGTTGGAGAGGTGTGCCGAAATGGGTGCGGTGGCGCCATGCGAACCCTGCCACTGGGGGCATTAGGTTGAGCTCCCTATATCTCCCTATGGGGCAACGGAGCGTGTGCACACGCGAGGGGTGTTCCCACATGTGTGCGGCGGCGCCATGCGAGCCCTGCCACTGATGCCTTCGGTTGAGATCCCTATGGGGCCACGAAACGTGTGAGGGGTCTGCCGACATGGGTGCGGTGGCGCCATGCGAAGCCTGCCACTGGGGCCACTGGTGGAGCTCCCTATGGGGCCACGAAACGTTGGAGAGGTGTGTCGAAATGGGTGCGGTGGCGCTATGCGAAGCCTGCCACTGGGGTCTTGGGTGGAGCTCCCTATGGGGCTACGAAACGTGTGAGAGGTGTGCCGAACTGGGTGTGGTGGCGCCATGCGAACCCTGCCGCTGTGGCCGTCGGATGAGTTTCTCACGGGGCCACGAAGCGTGTGAGGGGTGTGCCGACACAGAGACATGCGGAGGGCAGGGGCAATGAGGAAGAGGAGGGAGGAGGGGGCAACGGGAGGCGTGAGGACGTGGGGCGCTGTCTCTTCAAAACGAGGACCCAACACCACACGATAGTTGGGAAAAAGAAAAGGACGATGCGGATGAGGGAGCAGCGGGAGTGAGGAGGACCCAACATACCAAGATGGTTGGGAAATGGGAAACACACCACGTAATCAACACAGCGAAGAAAACTCTGCGAAACAAGCACTGCACATAACAAACTGCGCTTGGGAGGTTCCGAGCAGGGACCTATACATTACTGTTTGTCTTGGCCAAATATTTCCCTACCACTCTCGCACTGCGTAGAACAACACTGTGAAACATTATCCAGGCGAAGGACCCACCATATGCAAATGTGAATAACGCGATGGTGAATACCGTCCTCGGTGGAACTCCCTGTGGGGCCACGAATCGTGTGAAGGGTGCGTCGAAATAGGGGTGGAACTGCATGCGAACTTTGCCACTGGGGCCTTCGGTGGAACTCCCTATGGGGCCACGAAAGGTGCGCCGCAACGAATGCGGAACTGCACGTGAACTTTGCCACTGGGGCCTTCGGTGGAACTCCCTGGGGGGCAACGAACCGCGTGAGGGGTGCGCCGAAAGAGGTGTGGAACTGCATGCAAACTTTGCCACTTGGGCCTTCGGTGGAACTCCCTGTGGGGCCACGAACCGTGTGCGGGGTGCGCCGCAATGAACGTGGAACTGCATGCGTTCGGTGGAGCTCCCTATGCGGCCACGAACCGTGTGAGGGGTGCGCCGGAATTGGGTGGAACTGCATGCGAACTTCGCCAATGGGGCCTCCGGTGGAGCTCCCTATGGGGCCACGAACCGTGTGAGGGGTGCGCCAGAAGGGGGGTGGAACTGCATGCGAACTTTCTACTTGGTCCTTCGGTGGAACTCCCTATGGGGCCACGAAAGGTGCGCCGCAATGAATGCGGAACTGCACGTGAACTTTGCCACTGGGGCCTTCGGTGGAACTCCCTGGGGGGCAACGAACCGCGTGAGGGGTGCGCCGAAAGGGTGTGGAACTGCATGCGAACTTCTTGGGCCTTCGGTGGAGCTCCCTATGGGGCCACGAACCGTATGAGGGGTGCGCCGCAATGAATGTGGAATTGCATGCGAACTTTGCCACTTGGGCCTTCGTTGGAACTCCCTGTGGGGCCACGAACCGTGTGAGGGGTGCGCCGAAGGGG